TTTTTTTTTTTTTAATAGAGGGGTAAAAACAAAACTGATAACTCTATTATTACTGGATCCTAATAGTACTTCTGAAATGTATTCTTACTGTTGTTCAAAGTCTTTATAATGTATTAACTTTGATTTTGTTTTTCTTTTTTTTCATTTCATTCATAGTTATGATACCTGGATCCATAGTAATGATGTTGATGCCGAAATTGAAGATCCACCAATTCCAGAAAAGCCATGGAAGGTGAATGATACTTAAAAATTATTTATATAATAATTTTAGTAATAATCTAGTAGCTCTTCTCAGCTTTACAGTACTCTTTTTTTTTAAGAAGATGCAGAATGATGGTTTTTCTTCTTGTCATCCACTTAAGAGATATCTACAGCCATGAAGACCTTATTATCTAGATCTTAGATGAAACCAATGTCTACAGTGATGTTTGAAGAAAATTCAAAGCCAAGTTGGATTGTGGTTTGAGATAGGTGAGAGGAGTGTGAGGAGTTGAGTTTAACATTGTTGATGATGTCATTTAGGAAGACTTGCCTTGTTTTAGTATGATACAGACTTAATATTGTTTCTATTATAGTAAGAGTTGAGTTTATGCACTAACTTCTTTTTCACCTTTTGCTGTGAAAGTAATTTTTAAAGTTGTAGAATAGTACAAAACAAAGTACTATTTCATACCCTCCTCCTCCCAGATTCACTTCTCTTTTTTTTTAAAGTCTTTCAGGAAATTCATTCTTGAAACAATACTCTTAACTCGTGTAAGACCATTTTCACTTTTTTTTTTTTTTTTTTTTTTTCAGTTTTTGGCTGGGGCTGGGTTTGAACCCACCACCTCCAGCGTATGGGACTAGCGCCCTACCCCTTTGAGACACAGGCACCGCCCTCTTCTTCTTCTTTTTTTTTTTGGAGATAGTCTTACTTTGTCACCCTCGGTAGAGTGCTGTGGCATCAGAGCTCACAGCAACCTCCAACTCTTGAGCTTAACTGATTCTCTTGCCTCAGCCCCCGAGGAGCTGGGACTACAGGTGCCTTCCACAATGCCCAGCTATTTTTTGTTGCAATTCTCATTGCTGTTTTACCTAGCCAGGGCCAGATTGAAACCCACCACCCTTGGTATATGGGCCAGGCACCCTACCCACTGAGCCACAGGCGCTGTCCTCTGTTTTCACTTCTTTTCCTAGTAATACCCTTTAGGGTAGATTTTTTTTAAACTGATCTAGGTCTATTCCAGGATTGCACACTGCGTTTAGTTGACAGGTCTCGTTAGTGTCCTTTAATCCAGAACAGTTGTGCAGCCTTTCTTTTCCTTCTGTGATATTGGCAATTTTTTTTAAACTTTCAGATTAATAGGAGGTACAAATGTTTAGGTTAAATTGTTTTTGTTTCTGAGGTAAAGTTGAAGTTGTAGTTGAGCCCTTCACCCGGGGGTGTGCTGAATACCTTTAAGTTGTACACATTAGGTTGAGAACTTGCCAATCAGCCTTCCTCTTCCCCTTTCCCCTTTCTATCTCTCCTCCTCCCCTTGCTAAAATA